GAACTTTTCAATCTACAGTAACCACTAGAGTTCCCAATTAAAAAAAAAAACATGAAAACACCACTTTCCTTAAACGGAAAAAAATCAATTAAAAATAATGAAAATAACTCCACACATCGTCCAATGCCAACATCATCTCCGAAACCTTAACATAAACAAAACTCTAAAAACACCAAAATAAAAAGCTGTGATTTTTATGGCACATAGAACAAGAACCAAAAAAAAACCCACCGCAGAAACTTCCAAGAATGAAAATTCCAAAATTCAACTATCAAAATCCATATTTTATGAAAAACCCACATAGAAAAAACGAACTTTGTCCAAAACAAACATATACACAGAGTAAAAAATGCATAATCGACGTGGAAATAATTCGTAAAACAAAAGGGTGGTGAGAGTGTTTGTGAATCCTACGACGGCGTACGGAGCGTTTGCGGCTGAGAGAGGCTTGCAGCGAGGCTTCTGCGGCCACAAAAGATAGAAGATGATGAGGAAGATGTAGATGATGGTGCAGTGGAGGTCGAAGACGACGTCGGAGATGGTAGAACCAAAGAAGCCATTAATATTAATATTAATGTGCAAGTGTGTTTTGTTGTGTTTCTGGTGCGTGAGTGCGTGCACCCTTTGTTCTTGTTTTTCTGACGAGTTTGGTTTTGGAGGTGGAGGAGGCGTTGTCCACTTTGTATGGATGGAGTGGCGGGGGCTGCTGTTTCTCTGGCAGCTGTGGCCTTGGGAGGACTTGAGCGAGTAGGGTCACGTTTTCTGTGGGGAAATTGGTGGATGGCTGTGAAACGACAGCGTTCCGTTAGAGATCACATACGTATGTGCTTTGGTTTTGTGGGTCCAATGGGAAGTGAATTCGAGGGATCACCGACCAAATGATAGTAGTAGTAGTATATGACTTTCGAGTCCTTGAGAAGGTTAAATTCAAGGGCTTATTTCATCTTGGTCCTTCGAAGAAATTTAATAGTTCAATTTACCCATTGTTTTACAGAAATTCTAATTTGCTGCTTTAAAAACAAAATTTGGTTTTGATTTGTTCTCCAGTATGATTTACAAATTCCATTTACTGCTTAAAGTCTAAGCCACGATATGATGCCTAATATATTTTTTTAAAACGACAATAACTTCATATTAATTGGAATAATAATTTCATAATTTGGTTACTACCCTAACATTGTTTCCTAATCTCTTAACATGAGTAAGAAAGATACATTGGAATCTACAATTCATAGCTATGATGCCTTCGATGATTGGCCTCTGTTCATTGTATATACTCTGTTCTATCTCTTTATTCATTTTATTCCTCTTTTTGTATGGTATTCTTATTCATCCCATTCTGTCAAGGACTTCCTTATTGTGGATCTGTGTTCCTTTTGTGATTTATTGTAAATACTAATTTTGGTTGTGTTTGGATTGTATTTTTCTAAATTTTTTGTAGAAAAATTATTGTAATAATTTGATATATGTGAGGTAAAATAGTGATTGGGAAATGTATTCACGAAAAACGTACCAATTTTTCTTTGAAAAATAGCTGTCCAAACAAGGCTCGCTTTCAATATTCCAGAGTATATATTCATAGTGAGAATTGTGTCATTCGTCCCGTCTGTCCTTTCCTTTCTGCTACTTCTTTTAGGTTTTCCCACCACTTTCAAAAATCATCTCTATACTAGTTTAGTTTAGTTTATCGTATTGAATTGGAGCCATCTTCCAACCATTTGAGCCTTTATATAGAAAAACAACATGTGTTCTATTACTTCTAATTGCTTCCCACAGCATTTACCCATAGAGTCTCCTTTTCCTGTCCTCTTAAACACTATTTCATTAACTGTTAATATTTGATGCAAGTATTTTCATACAAAGTATTTTTTTTTTGTATTTAGCATTCAATCCCTATAGAAACATCCAATTATCAGTATTGGGCATATCTTTACTCTATTGCCCTTTCCAAATTTGCTGCATCAATTCTGATTTTCTTCCTTACTCATCTCTTTCTTTTTAGCTTCTACATATTTGGATTTGACAGTATAAATTCCTTTTGAGTCATTTTGCCATACTCTTCTGTCCATTCCACCTTACAGACTTGGTGAAATTTTCAGTATGCTACTAACATCTTCTTCTATAAAGCACTCTTATCAGCCTACCTATATCCCAATTTACCTCCAATTATTTGCTCATTAACTTTAATGTACCCGCTGTTGTCCTTTTTGGATGTGATCTGACCTTACTATTAAGAACGTTCTTCAGTCATTTGTCACTCCATATTTGCATTGTCTTTCCATCCCCAATTTTCATCAACGTACCTTCCTCAATTAGCCATTACTGCTTTAAAGGCTTTTCCATTTCCATGATACACTAGCATTACATATAAAAGTGTGGAGAATGGAGTCTAATTACCTCTTTTAAGTTGAAAAACTATCAAGGGGCTTTGGCACCCGGACAATTCCATACTAAAGCCATCATTGGAAACTTAGTTGCTAATTTTGGTTGGGCACCTCCACCATGGTTTCTTTGTTGGTTTCAGTCCATTGCCGTTTTGTTTTACTTTTCTTATAATCCTTACCCTCATCAATGTTTGAAGTCTCTCACTATCTTGTGTTTTGATTTTCCTCTTCCATATTCCTATATTATCTTTAGAATAGGTTTAGATAGCTCGTGGCGGTTTTCTCTCCTGCTTTGTCCTGCTAGCTCCTTTCTACTGCTTCTCTCTCCTTTCTACTGCTTCTCTCTATTAACTGCCTTGTTATTTGCTTATTCTTTCTCCATCCATCCTGATGTTATTAGCTCGTTATGCTTGTAAATCATGACTCATTGGCATGTCTATCGTTTTTCTGTCCGTAATATTTATTTGGGTATGATGGATCAACCAGTATTTTCATTCTCATAGTTATCATTAGAGCTGTTAAATGAATCGAATTGTTCAGTAGTTTGGTTCATTTCGACACGTTCGTGTTCGTGAAAGACTCGTTCGAAACCTTAAACGACCTGAGTTCGAACGAATTTTTTTGTTTGATTAATAATCGCGCGAACACGAGTATGTTCGCAAGTTCGCAAGTTTTAACGAACATTCGCGAACATGGATATAATTATCATTTGACAAATTTTAGGGTTAATTTTATGGTTAGACTTTTATATTTGGGGGGTTTTATTTGTTATTTTTATGTTAATGTTAGTTACATAGTTAATGAATAATAGAATTTAGTCACTTAGTGCTTTAATTATTTTTTAGAATGATTAATGATTTGTATGGCATATTTAAGGCTTAAAATAATTTGGATTCGAGCAGGTTCGCGAACGGTTCGTTTATGTTAAATAAGCCGAACACGAACACGAACTCGAATATGAACTTTGCTTAATGAGCCGAACATGAACACAAGTTTGGAGTTCGAAAATTAACGAACGAACACGAACATTGTTCGAATCACTTAACGAACAGAGCTCAAACATGAGATATTCGATTTGATTCAACTCATTTACAACTCTAGTTATCATGACCACTTCTTACTTATTCATTTTTCTATTTTCTTTCATTCTTCTTTCTATCTCTTATTTGATTGGCTCTGTATCTACTATTTCTTTCACTTTCAACTCCCTTATCTAATTGTTGTTGTCCACCAATTCCCCCTATACTATTTCTTAGATCCCTTATACTTGTTTTCTATCGTCTTTTCCTTCTTTTCAGGTTTCCTTCACTAGAAGCTGGCACAGAAATCCAAGTAATGAAGTTGAATAAACTATATAGATTCAAACTATTCTCAATCAGTGAAGATTTGGACCCATCATTTAAAACTTACAAGCTATACACGGAAATATATCCTAAACCATAAAAGGCCTAAGATAATCACTAGTTAGGAATCTTATCTAAGAAAACATAATCAAGAATAAATGGTAAGATTTAGGTTAAAGCGGCTGAGAACTATGCTTGAAGAAATTTGAAGAAATCTAAAAAAGTTTGAAAATATTTAAAAGGGTTTGAATTTGGAAATAGAGGGAGAAGCTCTCTCTGCCTAATTACCACTTACAAAAAATGTTATAGTCCTTTTAGTAATCTGACTTGTTACCTTTGCTTAAGAGTACAAGAATTGTGAACTTAAAGTACCGAATTTCCATTTCAATAAGATAGACAATTTATTTATACTTGAATTAAATGCTTAGTTAAAGGCAAGTCATGTCATAGTTAAGATCTTAAATTGCAATGAATACTTAATAGAAGGTCAAATTTAAACCGTATTTCTTGTTTGTGGGAGAATTGGAACAAATTTTTTGCCAGAGGGCCAAATTGAAACTCACTCGCTTTATGATGTTAAATTGAAATTTTGGTAATTTGAAGACTTAGTATGAAATTAAACTCCAAGGTTTAGTTGGAAGCTTTGAGTCAAAAATCAACAAATAATTAATGACATGAGAGATTCTCTAGTCTAGAATTAAATCACAGCCGAAAGAGGAGAAAGAAGCCATTGAACTTTGACTACCATCCTGGATAAATTCGGTCAAATTTTCCATTGGAGGGTTGGATTTCAAAATTGACAATTGAACTCACACAGGGAAATTTATGATAATTTTTGCTTTCCTCATTTTTTTTTTATATCTATCTAGAATAATAAAGGATTAGTCCACTTCATATTGCCATCCTGCTGCTGCTTGTGCTAGTAGAATGTGACTGCATGTAAAGTTTCATTTGTCAATTTCAAGAACTTATCCATAAGCATATGCTTATTTGTCCAATTTTCTAATACTGTCTATTGTCCTGAATGTGCAAAATTATAAGATCAGGAGGTTAAATTGGAAGACGACCAAAAGAAAGGGCACTTCTCCAACAATTTTGTGCTTTTCCCTTGTTGGACTTGCATCCTGCATGGCCCCCAAGAGCCACCACTATTTAGTCCCTGAAATTATTTGGTCCTATATAATATAGGACAATTTATCCTGGAAACCAGTCACTTAGCATCTGACCACCAAAAAGGGTACAAATAAAAATCTATGCAAGGATTCCCACTGCCTTTTGATCATCTAAAAACAAGATGAAATGCTAATAGAGCTTCATGAAAGATGCACCCATGGGTTCCATATTGTGTAACTGTAAAGAGACCCAGAGGCATCATAGGATCATAGTACAGCAGCCTAACATAGCACTACAGCAGCTAGACCTCCACCACCATGGGGGCAGTGGATGTCAGGCAAAGGAAATTACAAGTAAACGGATGAGCTTAAACAAGTTCCAAAGTCTATAAAAAGCATCCAGATGAAATGCTAGTTCTACTCTTAAGCATTTGCTGCAGGGTCCAAATGCATTGTCTCAATTTTCTAGATAAGGCAGATTTGAGTAGGCTATGTTTGCCAATCTGCTCAGGCTACATATTTATCATCAACATCAGCATCAATTTTCTCCAGGAGGGCAGACGAACAAAAAAGAAAAAGAAGCAGGGGGCAATAAAGAAGGAAATTAGCTATATCAAACTCAAAACTGATATCGCTATCAACCAACGTCCACCAAAGAGTTGTCGCCGGGAATTTTAGTTAAAAAGTATGGCAATGGTTGGTGGGGTTTTGCATGGCCGGATAAAGATTAACCCAAAAGAATGGGAGGAGAGGTTCATGGTAAAGCATGCGCAATGATGTCTGAGTAAAAGAGAGAGAAAATGCTAAATTTTCAACTACCCTCAGTTCAGTAAGCTCTTATCAAGAATTAACTATCTTCTTATTGTCTTCTAGTTCACTGAAATATGCTACTCACAGAACAGTCATCATGAACGCGCCAAATGGTCTCACCCAACAGGTTTGCAACTGAAAGTACAGTTAACTGCGGGAAATAATTCTTCTCAATTGCTGGAATTGTGTTTGTAACTATAACTTCTTGAAACAGGCCACTTGACAACCTCTCAACTGCAGGTGGGCTGTAGAGAAACAACATCAACCTGGTGATCTATAATTGGATGCATACATGAAAAAATAGGGAACTATAAACATGCGTTCTGCTACCACAAAGTTCACATGGAACTAAGGGTTTAAGAAATCTGACACAGACGGGAACCACATTAACCAAACAGAGTTCAACATGAATGTATATGCACATAAACTTCAAATAGTTGACATTTACATGACAAATTGGTGATCTGGCCATAGGCAATGAAGAACAGATATGCTGAGAACTCAGTCAAACGTATTCTCAAGCCCACAGGATTGTCCAGTATTATAGGCAGGCTAATTGTATAATAGCTAAAGAAGATGAAGAAAGAAGCTCCAACTGATTAGAGAATGCTAAGAACTGAAGCAGGTTTTTTTCTTGAAAAAAAGAAAAGTGGTGGTCTGGAAGCCGGTGTTGACAATGTAATTAAGATCTCATTTGCCGAACAACGCAGCAAATTGGGCCAAACAACACCCCCCCCCGGGGCCAAAACAAAAAATACAAAAAGAAACAAGAAAGTTATGAAACAAAATGGTGGGAAAAAGTGCTGCAGTGTGTGATCCATTAGAATAAAAGTATGAACATACTAGGCCAGTACAAACTATTTGGATCCGATGTTGCTGGACAACAAAACATGTTTGTACGAGAATTAGCAAACAAGGATATAGAGTGAAAAAAAGGGACAGTAAGCTAATATCACCTGAAGACTGCATGAGTGCAGCATGCATACACTTCCCTTGCCCCTTCATCATGCAAAAGAGCTGCTCCTTTTGCAATGGTCCCTGAAACCAACCATCAGCTACTAGGTTAATTGTCAAGATCTACATGGCACAAAAAAAAACTACATGACCTACTAATTGGTACTATAGAATCAGAAAGATGCTTCAAATAGCAAAACAAGATTAAAAACCAGAAAAGATAACTTTATGTTAGAATAAATTAAAAAAAAATCCAAAATGTGAGAGAAAGTTGCTAATTAACTTAGACCTCCAATTTCATAACTGAATCTAAATGATATTAAAAACAGAGATTATGTAAATTTGCTTCTAACATCAAACGCAAAAGGCTGAATATAGATGATGTTATCTTTCAAAATGTAGTTTATAGGTGCTTTGTCAATGATGTGATGATTCCAGCAAGCATGAAGAACATGCCACAATTATTCTTCCACCTTTCTTTAGCATTGCACTTAATCACTGACAAGTTCTGCATCGTTACGAGTAATTAATGATATCCAACCTGCTGTATCAATCATATCATCCACCATAACAGCAACTTTCCCTTTAACATCACCAATCAAATTCATTACCTGGATATGCAAATGGAAAAATCAAGAACACAAAAATATATGACAGGAGAATCACAAAGTACAGGAAGAAAGTTCCATAAATTTATTCCTTCAGGAACATAATCTTAATTGCCAAGATTACTATTAAATTGTTTGAATTGGACCACACAAAGGAAGGTTAGACATTGCTTTGTTACATGGATTGAATGCTAGTTTTGTGATGCCTGGAAAGCAGCATTGGAATAGCCAAATATATAGAAAATAAGTCCTTGAATGATGTGAGTAACATCAGTTCATTCCTGCTTACTACTTTGTGTGTAGATAATATAGCTAGAGAAAACTTTTAGACCTTAAGTACTCTTTGTTCAGGTGCTAGAACATGCCAGGAAAGTTCGAGTGTGATGATTATGAAACTTTGGAAATAAAACTTTGAATTTGTTAAGAAGAGATTGCTTAACTATCATATCCAAGAGCAAAAATAAAATTTGAAACATGTAAGAAGAATATGTGATTAACATATTCAAAAACCGTTGCTTTTCTTTGTGCTGCAGATCCTGAAATCTCTTATCAGATGTTATGTATCAAGAAAAATAGGGTTTCAATTGTGCACCTAGCATATGTAGAATCCTAACCAATGGGAAGGTAAAGTACTCATAAGGTTAGACAACTGAAGCATAATGGTATAAGCTTCCCCTGCAGCTAAAAACCAGAATAATATTTAGCTGTCCAAGACATACAAGTGCAGTGCAGATTTCTGACCTGATCATCTATAGGTTCCCATTATGTATTAATGAAGTTTGGCAGAAATACATAGACCCCACAAGGTGTACCAGGAAAAAAGTAAACGACGGTAAAAATCCAACCAGAGATCCAGCTAGTGAACTACCTCAGCCACATTGTGGCCATGTCGCCTTTTATCAACAATTGCTAAAGGTGCATCAGATAACTTTTTAGCAAAAGCACGGGCTCTAGCAACTCCTCCAACATCAGGTGAGACCACAACTAAATCATTCGAAGAAACCTCCTTGCTAGCAAGGTAATCAAGAATGACAGGCTGTATACAGGAAAAAAACATTTGATCATCAGTTTATATAACACGTTTAGCAAATTATAGTCCAAAACTCCTACCTGACAGTACACATGGTCCACTGGTATATCAAAGTAACCCATTGATTGCCCTGAGTGAAGATCACAAGCAAGAACACGGTCTGCACCTGCTTCAGTGATAAGGTTTGCTACTAATTTGGCAGCAATAGACTCTCGACCTTGTGTCTGAAGATGAAGAAAACAATGATAAGATAACAACCAAACAAAGATCAAAATGCAAGCATGCTGGATTCCCAGACTTCCCAGAACAACTGGACCAAGTTTCCTTTTCTCATCGGCTACCCCCCCCCCCCTTCTGTCTCCCTCTTTCACCTACCTTTACCTTAGTTCCTTCAATTCATCCTTAAACTTTTAGCGCTACTAAGTTTTATAGGTGACCACAAAAATTTTTAACCTCTCATGTCAGAAGACACAGACGCTTCAACTAGGCCAGTTATGCAAAAAATAAACTTAAATAGCTTGCCTTTCTATCTGCTCTAGCATATCCAAAGTATGGAATCACTGCCGTGATGTTTTTGGCTGAAGCTCTTCGACAAGCATCTATCATCACCAAAAGCTCCATAAGATTCTCATTGGCTGGAGGGCAGGTGGCTTGGACTAAGAACACATCACAGCCTCTAACACTCTCTTGCAACTGAACATAAATTTCACCATCAGCAAACCTCTTGATATTAACTTTTCCCAGGTTGAGGCCCATGTACCAAGCAATTTCCTAGGAAAAAAAAATGGCAGTGCATTAGTGTAGTAAGAAGTATAACAAATAAATGCAACAAAACTGTGGAAAAAAATGGTACTGCATCAGGGATTTTCTCACTGAAACTTAGATTCTAAATCAGGAAGAAAAGAACATAGCATACAATGGGAAGCAAGGTTGTAGACATAAAAGATCAACAGCTGCTTCTCCACATTATCAAGTCAAATAAAAATAGTGGATAGAGCCAGACGAGCATATTATGCTTGAAAATGCCTCAGGAAGAGATTTCCAGATTAATGAGACCTCTAACGTTGAGTTATCAACAAATTAACTAAAAACATGAACTTTCTGTTCAAACTGAATAAGTGAAGTTTACCTGAGAAAGAGCAGGATTAGCGGTCCCAGAAAATATTTTCAGCCTGGTTTCATTTCTATCAACCGCCTTCTGCAGCCGCTTTGATTGCAAGAATTTTGGGAGGACTTGATCATTTATGATTGGCACACAAGGCCTTCCATTCAATGGTTGAGTGATTTCACATTTCTAATACAAGACAAACAAACATTAATCCAATCAAATCATAGCATTCACTGCACACTGGCAAGGGAACTCTGTACATGGGATATTTCAAAAATCCACAAAATTCCTCATAAAAAGGGCCCACTTTGAAAATACATCAACGCTTTGCTGCCTTTTCATCCAACAGTAAAATACTCAAGTAAACAGTTTCACCCTAGATAAAGGTGGGAACTTTTCAATCTACAGTAACCACTAGAGTTCCCCAATTAAAAAAAAAAACATGAAAACACCACTTTCCTTAAACGGAAAAAAATCAATTAAAAATAATGAAAATAACTCCACACATCGTCCAATGCCAACATCATCTCCAAAACCTTAACATAAACAAAACTCTAAAAGCACCAAAATAAAAAGCTGTGATTTTTATGGCACAAAGAACAAGAACCAAAAAAAAAACCCACCGCAGAAACTTCCAAGAATGAAAATTCCAAAATTCAACTATCAAAATCCATATTTATGAAAAACCCACATAGAAAAAAACGAACTTTGTCCAAAACAAACATATACACAGAGTAAAAAATGCATAATCGACGTGGAAATAATTCGTAAAACAAAAGGGTGGTGAGAGTGTTTGTGAATCCTACGACGGCGTACGGAGCGTTTGCGGCTGAGAGAGGCTTGCCAGCGAGGCTTCTGCGGCCACAAAAGATAGAAGATGATGAGGAAGATGTAGATGATGGTGCAGTGGAGGTCGAAGACGACGTCGGAGATGGTAGAACCAAAGAAGCCATTAATATTAATATTAATGTGCAAGTGTGTTTTGTTGTGTTTCTGGTGCGTGAGTGCGTGCACCCTTTGTTCTTGTTTTTCTGACGAGTTTGGTTTTGGAGGTGGAGGAGGCGTTGTCCACTTTGTATGGATGGAGTGGCGGGGGCTGCTGTTTCCTCTGGCAGCTGTGGCCTTGGGAGGACTTGAGCGAGTAGGGTCACGTTTTCTGTGGGGAAATTGGTGGATGGCTGTGAAACGACAGCGTTCCGTTAGAGATCACATACGTATGTGCTTTGGTTTTGTGGGTCCAATGGGAAGTGAATTCGAGGGATCACCGACCGGAAATGATAGTAGTAGTAGTATATGACTTTCGAGTCCTTGAGAAGGTTAAATTCAAGGGCTTATTTCATCTTGGTCCTTCGAAGAAATTTAATAGTTCAATTTACCCATTGTTTTACAGAAATTCTAATTTGCTGCTTTAAAAACAAAATTTGGTTTTGATTTGTTCTCCAGTATGATTTACAAATTCCATTTACTGCTTAAAGTCTAAGCCACGATATGATGCCTAATATATTTTTTTAAAACGACAATAACTTCATATTAATTGGAATAATAATTTCATAATTTGGGTTACTACCCTAACATTGTTTCCTAATCTCTTAACATGAGTAAGAAAGATACATTGGAATCTACAATTCATAGCTATGATGCCTTCGATGATTGGCCTCTGTTCATTGTATATACTCTGTTCTATCTCTTTATTCATTTTATTCCTCTTTTTGTATGGTATTCTTATTCATCCCATTCTGTCAAGGACTTCCTTATTGTGGATCTGTGTTCCTTTTGTGATTTATTGTAAATACTAATTTTGGTTGTGTTTGGATTGTATTTTTCTAAATTTTTTGTAGAAAAATTATTGTAATAATTTGATATATGTGAGGTAAAATAGTGATTGGGAAATGTATTCACGAAAAACGTACCAATTTTTCTTTGAAAAATAGCTGTCCAAACAAGGCTCGCTTTCAAATATTCCAGAGTATATATTCATAGTGAGAATTGTGTCATTCGTCCCGTCTGTCCTTTCCTTTCTGCTACTTCTTTTAGGTTTTCCCACCACTTTCAAAAATCATCTCTATACTAGTTTAGTTTAGTTTATCGTATTGAATTGGAGCCATCTTCCAAACCATTTGAGCCTTTATATAGAAAAACAACATGTGTTCTATTACTTCTAATTGCTTCCCACAGCATTTACCCATAGAGTCTCCTTTTCCTGTCCTCTTAAACACTATTTCATTAACTGTTAATATTTGATGCAAGTATTTTCATACAAAGTATTTTTTTTTTGTATTTAGCATTCAATCCCTATAGAAACATCCAATTATCAGTATTGGGCATATCTTTACTCTATTGCCCTTTCCAAATTTGCTGCATCAATTCTGATTTTCTTCCTTACTCATCTCTTTCTTTTTAGCTTCTACATATTTGGATTTGACAGTATAAATTCCTTTTGAGTCATTTTGCCATACTCTTCTGTCCATTCCACCTTACAGACTTGGTGAAATTTTCAGTATGCTACTAACATCTTCTTCTATAAAGCACTCTTATCAGCCTACCTATATCCCAATTTACCTCCAATTATTTGCTCATTAACTTTAATGTACCCGCTGTTGTCCTTTTTGGATGTGATCTGACCTTACTATTAAGAACGTTCTTCAGTCATTTGTCACTCCATATTTGCATTGTCTTTCCATCCCCAATTTTCATCAACGTACCTTCCTCAATTAGCCATTACTGCTTTAAAGGCTTTTCCATTTCCATGATACACTAGCATTACATATAAAAGTGTGGAGAATGGAGTCTAATTACCTCTTTTAAGTTGAAAAACTATCAAGGGGCTTCTGGCACCCCGACAATTCCATACTAAAGCCATCATTGGAAACTTAGTTGCTAATTTTGGTTGGGCACCTCCACCATGGTTTCTTTGTTGGTTTCAGTCCATTGCCGTTTTGTTTTACTTTTCTTATAATCCTTACCCTCATCAATGTTTGAAGTCTCTCACTATCTTGTGTTTTGATTTTCCTCTTCCATATTCCTATATTATCTTTAGAATAGGTTTAGATAGCTCGTGGCGGTTTTCTCTCCTGCTTTGTCCTGCTAGCTCCTTTCTACTGCTTCTCTCTCCTTTCTACTGCTTCTCTCTATTAACTGCCTTGTTATTTGCTTATTCTTTCTCCATCCATCCTGATGTTATTAGCTCGTTATGCTTGTAAATCATGACTCATTGGCATGTCTATCGTTTTTCTGTCCGTAATATTTATTTGGGTATGATGGATCAACCAGTATTTCATTCTCATAGTTATCATTAGAGCTGTTAAATGAATCGAATTGTTCAGTAGTTTGGTTCATTTCGACACGTTCGTGTTCGTGAAAGACTCGTTCGAAACCTTAAACGACCTGAGTTCGAACGAATTTTTTTGTTTGATTAATAATCGCGCGAACACGAGTATGTTCGCAAGTTCGCAAGTTTTAACGAACATTCGCGAACATGGATATAATTATCATTTGACAAATTTTAGGGTTAATTTTATGGTTAGACTTTTATATTTGGGGGGTTTTATTTGTTATTTTTATGTTAATGTTAGTTACATAGTTAATGAATAATAGAATTTAGTCACTTAGTGCTTTAATTATTTTTTAGAATGATTAATGATTTGTATGGCATATTTAAGGCTTAAAATAATTTGGATTCGAGCAGGTTCGCGAACGGTTCGTTTATGTTAAATAAGCCGAACACGAACACGAACTCGAATATGAACTTTGCTTAATGAGCCGAACATGAACACAAGTTTGGAGTTCGAAAATTAACGAACGAACACGAACATTGTTCGAATCACTTAACGAACAGAGCTCAAACATGAGATATTCGATTTGATTCAACTCATTTACAACTCTAGTTATCATGACCACTTCTTACTTATTCATTTTTCTATTTTCTTTCATTCTTCTTTCTATCTCTTATTTGATTGGCTCTGTATCTACTATTTCTTTCACTTTCAACTCCCTTATCTAATTGTTGTTGTCCACCAATTCCCCCTATACTATTTCTTAGATCCCTTATACTTGTTTTCTATCGTCTTTTCCTTCTTTTCAGGTTCCTTCACTAGAAGCTGGCACAGAAATCCAAGTAATGAAGTTGAATAAACTATATAGATTCAAACTATTCTCAATCAGTGAAGATTTGGACCCATCATTTAAAACTTACAAGCTATACACGGAAATATATCCTAAACCATAAAAGGCCTAAGATAATCACTAGTTAGGAATCTTATCTAAGAAAACATAATCAAGAATAAATGGTAAGATTTAGGTTAAAGCGGCTGAGAACTATGCTTGAAGAAATTTGAAGAAATCTAAAAAAGTTTGAAAATATTTAAAAGGGTTTGAATTTGGAAATAGAGGGAGAAGCTCTCTCTGCCTAATTACCACTTACAAAAAATGTTATAGTCCTTTTAGTAATCTGACTTGTTACCTTTGCTTAAGAGTACAAGAATTGTGAACTTAAAGTACCGAATTTCCATTTCAATAAGATAGACAATTTATTTATACTTGAATTAAATGCTTAGTTAAAGGCAAGTCATGTCATAGTTAAGATCTTAAATTGCAATGAATACTTAATAGAAGGTCAAATTTAAACCGTATTTCTTGTTTGTGGGGAGAATTGGAACAAATTTTTTGCCAGAGGGCCAAATTGAAACTCACTCGCTTTATGATGTTAAATTGAAATTTTGGTAATTTGAAGACTTAGTATGAAATTAAACTCCAAGGTTTAGTTGGAAGCTTTGAGTCAAAAATCAACAAATAATTAATGACATGAGAGATTCTCTAGTCTAGAATTAAATCACAGCCGAAAGAGGAGAAAGAAGCCATTGAACTTTGACTACCATCCTGGATAAATTCGGTCAAATTTTAGCACCAATAGGAGAGCCTTCATGCAAGACAAAAAAAGCAGGGAATCGTTGATGTGGCCCAAAGGATCTGGAGGAATTCCTTTTTGGGTTTTTACATTATACTATTCTCCAGCCATTGCATGACAAAATCGCTTGTTCAGAATATAATTTTTCAGAATTTTTTTTTTACATTTTTCAAGAATATATTTTTAATTATTTTTTATTTTACATCTATTAAATTATAATAGTACGTTTTTTCTATAAAAACTCTTAAAAATAGCAATCCAAACTGACACAAATTCAAGAAAGTGCACATTACTGGATTGTGCCTATGTATGAAAAGTTTCGGGATTGGTAAACATAGCAAATCATCTTAAACCCTTGACCGATGCACTAATTGTATTGAATAACTTGCTGGATATCTCAAAACAATATATCACTAGAATCCAAATATGTGAAAGGTGAGGCCAGACTATAGGCCACATAGGGCTGCAAACGAGTCGCCGCTCGCGAGCGACGAAAGTCGAAATCGAATTCGAATTCGAGCTCAAAATATTAAGTTCCTTAGCTCGCGAGTCGAGCTCGAGTTTTAAATTGCCGGCTCGTCGAGCTCAAACTCGAATTCAAGGTTGATAAAATTTAGTCGATACTCGACTCGATTACCCCAAATCTCGACTCGACTCGGTTCGTTTGCACCCCTAAGGCCATAACATCTCAAACCCTTTTACCATTTAACCTATGGTAAAAGTCCCTATAGGTCATTGCTTTAAAAGTCCTACCAGACGTGGAATAACATCTAAGTAGTAGACAGTAACGGTAGTTAAGGCACGTCTCAATAGTTAAAGTACGTCTGATAACTATTTCTCTAATTAAGAAATAATTCTAGGTAAACTCATAAAATCTAATTTCTTAATTGTATTAGAAATTAGAAAAATCATGTTTTAACCAATAAACACATAGAAGGTGAGAAACATGTGTTGGTATTTTATTTTCTTTTTTAGAAATTGCATTTCTCTGAACTGTATATACTGCAAATGTTAAATCTATTCTTTTTGTTTTCCTCATTCATTGATGTGAATCACATTAGCAGTCACCAAACAAAGTCCTTTCTGTCACATTAGTGTCTACTAAAAATTCCACACTAAAGACAAGAAGGCGGTGGGCGGTGATGTATATGAGACAAGAAGGCGAAGAAAAGAAGAAGAAGAAGAAGAAGACTAAGAGGAAGAAGAAGTTAAAGAAGGTAGAAAAATTTTGGTTTCCTTTCCACGAAATTACTCGAGTCGTGGAATCAAAGCAAAATATGCCCCACCCCAGCTTGCATGCATTGAACATTTGAACCAATGATAGAAGGCAACAAAACGTGGACGACGCTGCAAGAATTCATGTCGACATTAGGGTGCAATAATGCCGTCGCGCGTTGATTTAATTCTCAGTGTTGTCCACATGGTTGTGGGCTTAGAATTTGGAAGAAATTGAAAGATAGAATGACTAATTTCTTTCACATGGTTGAAATGGACTCAAATTACCGAAGAAGCTTCGATCTAATAGCTAAAATTAAGATTTTAAAAATTAGAGAGTTTAGGTTCAAATTTTCATTCTCCCACCTTGTATTTTTTATCACAGCCCTCTCCAGCCAATCAAAAAAGAAAAAAGGAATTCAAGTTTTCCCAAAGTTCAGTTAAAAGGAATTCAAGGCGTTGAGTAATTTGCTTGCATCACAATTGCAATTTTCAATTAATTTTTTTATCCTTCAAACAATTTTTTTTATCTTATATACAAAAAATCAAGAAAAGTATTACAGTAATTATTTCAAATAATATTTTGTACTTTACACTTCTTCTTTATCAATTCAAATCTTTGAAAAATCTGAAACATTTCTCCTTTAGGCCTTGTTTGGAAATAATTCTCCTTGTTTGAAAAAATCCAAATAAAATTCTTTCTCGTTGATCACCCTCAGAGTACAAGGGATGCAGGCAGCTACACAGTGCCTCAGAACGGAACTTGGAATAGTAAGCAATGCAACTTTACAGGGTTATGCCATTTTACATAAGAAACAGTGTGAATTTGAAGACAAGATTGCTTGTGTGCCAAAAACTAGTGTGAATTTGAATGTTGGACGGTTCATGATGGCCCAAGCTTATAGTCTTTGACTCGGAAAATTGGGGTGGTTCTTGATGCCTCAACCTTGTAGCATTGACTTGCTATGTACCATTGTTGGCCGCTTCAGCGACTTTCATGGTTACTTTAGCCTGATTCTTGAGGTTGCTCTGATGTTTCAATTTTCTGAGAAAACAATGGGGCACAAAGTCAGTGAGGGTGCAGAGCTTTTCAAAGAACTAAAAGTCTTATCTTCATCTAGTGCAAATTCACAAGTGCTCTCGAAGGAAGCTGGAATCAGAAGGTTTCAACCACCTACCATCCCTGGAAATTTGAACAAACAGAGCATAACATACAAAGGCCATAACAGAAACACATAAACAAGGGGATAGAAACAACAGCCGGCAAAAAAAATAAAAAATACTAGTATAATTTAATCTACATGCATGACAAGAACATGTTAGGGTTGAGAGACTCCTTTAGTTCAAACTTAAAGTACGAGCGTATTGGATCTCCCCTAACTGACTACCCCATTGTAGTGATTATATTATACCAAAATGCCAACTCATATTCATTCTAGAACAAATTTCATTCTGTTAGTTCTGTACAAGGAACCCTTACTCTATAAAGTAGCAATAAATTGGAGCAATTTTAGGGAGCAATTCTCAAGAAATTGCCATCACGTAAATCGACAAAATGAGTAATGCAACAAAGGGGTTCCATGAAGTGAAAGATATTGCATGTGCATATTAACTCCAGATAACTGTTCCATTCAACTCAAATGGGAATGACTGCAATCTGCAAACTTAATTCATATCTTTGTCAGGTGAATAACTGCTAAACTTCTGAATCAACACTGATGTTTAGACAGGGGGTCAACACATAACATTCTCAATTTATTACTCAAAGATATCTCCGATTAGAGCATCTTTTCAATCTCTATGCACGAATCATACATGACTGAAACCATATAATTGTATGAAATGAAACGTATAGCATATGCCAATATTTGCAAAGCATAATTAGAAGTCAAAAGGAAGTGAAAGAACATAAATATCCACATACAATCAACAAGATGTAGAAGAGGAATTTCCGATTTTATAGTGGTTATTGCTGTCAGCTCAGCAATATAAATGAGATATGCCAACAGATGCATGCCAAACATGGAGAGACAGACAAATATGTGTGCGCACGCGCATAGACATGCACAGACACATGCACAGACACATACACATACACAGAGGGAGAGTGAGACTAGGTTCAAGTACCTCTTGTTCCGGTTGAACCTTGGAAAAAGATTTAAGCTGGCAGCTTTCAATATTTGAAAGTAACTGGATAACAGTTTTCAGATGTGGAACACTGCAAAATGTGACTTCCAAATGAGGCAAGACATTCGTAAAGAAGAAAAAGCTACAAAATGCAAACAAATTCTAGCAGTAAAAAAGTTCTGTCACTGGTTTTTTATGTCCTTGACCACTGACATCGAAAAGCTTGAAATATTCATGTTCTAGAGTAATCTATGTCAGGTTGTCGTCAATATGTCCCATAGTAAACAAACTGAATACCATAGAAAAGGCATTTAGGGAGGTACAATTCTAGGAGCAATGACCTCTTAGAATAGGGGTTCCTTTGAAACTGCAGAAGATGTAGATATCCCCAAGATTCCCCTTAAACTACAGAAGGGTTTTCCATTTGAATTCCTGAATTGAGGGACCCCAATTAACACAATTTTGGAATGGCCGGCCACCTTAATACTCAACAAATTTGCAGGGAAGATCACACCAAGCACTCATTGCACATTACACTTCATATTACTGGATAGCACAACTTAGGACAAGTTTAAAAAACTACCAAGCATCGCAAATAAAGCTGCATGGCAAGGTATTTCATCCTTAATGGAGCAATGCAACTCAAAACAAGGAGCTCTACAGATATGTGGCTCATCTCAGCAGAAAGAACAGGAGAAAAATCTTAACGACTATAAGGTAAGAATAAATATATAAAAACATACTAAGGTACGAAATACACAGTCTACTGGGATCCCTCATTCAAAAAAATAACATGTTATTTACATGTAATAATCTTTACCTATGCATTTTTAATCAGACACAAGCAGTGGTCTTATTGTTTTATGTGTGTCTAGGCACTTATTAGCTAACTTAATAGATAATTAAAATCCCATATATTAAATTCCATTCATCCTGTGCCTCAAACCACAGAACACAAGAAACTTCCATTTTCAATACCTGATATTTGTCTCACTTCCAAGGCCATATGCCTCAGGAAATGTTAATTCTTACTAACACCTCGAGTCTTTTGTGGGTTGGCACAAAAAATGTATTTGTCTCACATCCAAGGCAACAGTAAGTGGACTTGGATTTCTATTTGAACCAATCTTTGAACTTAGAGATGCTTTTGGAGAATATAAATAACTGACATAATAGCAACATCTCAACTCAGAGTAAGCTACAAAACTAATCTAGAATAAATAGCCGCAACTGAGGCTAAAAACAGCTAATAAAAAGTACAGTGCAAAGACAAGACACAGGATAAGCACAATGTTGTGCAAAAAATAAAGGATCTCTTAGAAAATAGAGGCAGGAACCCAACCTCTGTAAAGAATTATCCACATGTGCATCCAATGATGAAATTATATGAGGCATCTGTTCCAATACCTGCAAGAAGTAGACAACAATAGCTCAGTATACCAGCTTTTCCAGAGTCTTCTTACTGAGAATCCACAATTGCAGGAGGCATGCATACCAACTCTGTGTTTTTTATAGTAGGTGTCTTCGCCAAAAGGCTTCTTGGAAGCTTCAGTAACTCAGCCTGCATATACACCATTTATATCTCCCTCCACTTAGAGTTTCAAGGCATACCAAAGGTTGGTACTTGAATTCAATACACTAGTCTTGTAATTATCCTTAAGAAAGACAACTGAAATTTATGCAGAGAAATATGTCCTCTTGTATGATGTCATGAGATAGTATTCAGAAACGTAAATAAATGATGTGTACTCTAAACTGAGAAGTGTGACCAATATATAAGTTTGTAGTACCAACACAACAACTGCAGATTAATATTTTCATCAGGCTAAACCTACTACTTCCACCTGTAAATATATGAGATCTATATCATGCAACACTCCTTTACCACAAGGAAATCCCAGTGACCTGACGAGGAAGAGAGAGTGTGTACATGTTTGTATTAACACGTACTAAAATCAATGTTTGACACTCGAAATGAAAGAGCAAAAAATTCCCATCTTTTTATGCATAGAACACTCCTCATATAAATGTGAACAGCATCGGATAAACGTCTATAACCTTACACTACATAAACTTTTGCACTAATATTGCTAAAGTTGCCATTTTTAATAACATTTAACTTCTATGTAAGGAAAAGTGAGAGAACTCGAATTTAAAGTACAAACGCCTTGGACAATCCTAACTAAGACCATCATCTTACTAATATTTGAGCATCTTTTAAAAATTACCCTAACAATCTATTGAATAAAACAGTAATTCAAATACTCTTGACATATAACAATTCTAAAAGCCTAAAAAAAATCCCAAATTGAATAAAGGAAGATAACCTAATCATCCTAATCCACAATCCGTTTATATTTGCAAAGACACTGTATAATTCCACAAAAAAAGTGCAATAAGTTCAGAGACGCACAATAACAGATTATGCAAAACCTTCCGGAATGTTACATATATGCTATGTAATCATTCAAAAAAATAAACGTTGCAGACAGACCTGAAAAAGAAAAGAGTGGGGGAGAAAGAGAGAGAGAGAGGTGCCTGAGCAGGGGAAGACTGAAGCATGAGGTGGAGGAGATTGGATGTGGATTGAATGGCCTGGGAAATTTGATCAGCCGCTATGGATTTTGCTGACCCTTCTCTGCTGCAGCTACTGCTGCTGCCATTGCTAGTCCCAGAAGAAGCTGCAGTAGATGTTGATGTGGCCATCTTCTTCTTGGACTTTGATGATGATATTGAGGTTGATATGGGGATTCTCCTGTACTCTGCTTCTTCAACCCTGTTGGCAATCTGGTATGTAAAATTGTGTAAAGACGAAGAAACCAGTAGTATTTAAACGAATTGTTTGATTTGTAGATTTTTTTTTTTTTTTTTGAGGAAGAGATTGGTAGAGTTCAATATCTGGAAACAAGAGGGGGGGGGGGGGGGGGGGGGAATCCATACTGTCGAATACCAAAAGAAAAAAAATTTGAAAAAGAGAACTACCATGAAGATTTTCTATGTTTGATTTGTAGTTTCTTCACAAAATCCACCATCCATGCAAGAATGGAAAAGCATAACCAAATATATTCTCGTTTTGGTTCGTTAAAAGCTACAGTAAGGGCCAAAACTGTCAAGTTAAATCTTAATTCTCTCTGTGTGTGTGTGTGTGTGTGTTTTTATTTTTTTCAATTTGTTGGCTAAATTGGGGTTTTGGTGTTAAATATTAAAACTCCCTATGCTTCAACTAAATTAAAAATTGAACAGAAAGCATCTGATCCAGCGATTGTAAGTGAAATATCAACATTTAATATTTAACAAACATTTAACAAACCACAGAAAGGTTTTGGTATTTTACCCCAAGAAAAATGAACAGTTGCACTCGGGCATTATGATTTGGACGACACTTTGTGCCATTCTCAAAATTGCAGATTTTGTGGCTGGAAAAGTTAAAGGTATTCTTCTTGGAGTCCAGACAATGGAAATATCGAGATAGCAGAATGGTCATATGTCATGAAATATAAGCCTTATAAGTAGCTCTTAATCAACATAAGTAGCATTCTTGAATTGATTCAGAATTCAAGAACTGCGATATATCATGAAGTTGAAGCCTTGTGAGCAGTTGTGAGCAGTAGCTCTTTATCAGTATAGCATTCTCGAAACTCTGATGCTAATTCATTACAATGCTGAATATCAAGCACATCTGATTCAATGCAGCAACACTGCATCCTCTTGAATTGATTTAATTATCAGTGTGTGCACACCTCAAAGCATAAAATGCTCAGGGTCTTACAACATCAAGCTCATCTGATTCAACGCAGCAAAATTGAATCCTGTTGAATTGATTTATTTAATTATTAGAGTGCCTCCAAAGCATAAAATGCTCAGAATTTTCTGATTTGCCAGAGCCACATCACATCCTGAAGCCCTTCAACAAGAAAAGATCTGCAAATGCCTGTGCTACTTAATGACAAACTTTTATATGCCCAAGGTCAGAGTCAAGCAAAGCAGAGATAAAAGCTTGCCTAAACACACAGAAGAAGGGGGAAGCGGGGTTCAGTATCGCTAGCATAACAAGGCTGTAAACGAAAAACAATGCTGATGCCTGGATACAGCAAGAGAAAACCCTCGTTAGGGGATGCCTTTGTGTCAATATTGAGTGCATACGAGGAGCCCAGCAGCCATCAAGTGAATTTAGCTGTTAAGCTGACAGGATGAACCCAATATTTCTAGAGGAGGATGATCAAGATGTGAGTGGCATACACACCCATGAAAGCAATCAGGAGTGCAAAACGCATATTCTATCAGAGCTACTGGCCAAGTAGATGCAACTAACAGGAAATGTTATACAATGGTATTATATATTTCGTGAATGTTTCGGGGGATGATCCAAACACCAAAATCAATTTCCTGTCAGCCTGTACACAAACCTAACAGAGACTTGTGAGTATGGACATAAATATCCAAAAGAGATATGTGCAGGCTTGAAGAAAGAAATTTCTGATGTTTACGGAAAGTTGCCTGGGGCATAAAGACACACAGAACGTGAATTTGGAGTTTTTTTTGGTTTTTTTTGTGTGTGTGTGGGGGGGGGGGGGGGGGAATGTGCAGTTGTTCCCATTAGAAAAGACAAAGTATTTACAGCTATTATCAGCACAGCATCCACATAAGCGAGAAATATGCTGGAAAATCTAAGATGATGAACCACTCGGTAGTTAATAGTTACAAAACAAGATGGTCTTGTTTCGTACTTCAAAAGTACACCACAAGGGCAAAGGTCGAAACAGTTTGTATCAAGAGAGAGCAAATTAAGAGATTGAGTTTACGAAAAACAAGAGAAATCATAGAAGAAAGCAAAATCAACCCTTGATGAAATCTTTTGCTATCTAAGGAATTCATCAGTTTATATTCATAAACAAACAGAAACCTGAAAATACATGCGCATCAAATCGAGTCCATTTCATAATTTGGAACAAAAAAAAATTACTTCTCATTGGGTGCATAATAGCATTGCTTTCTGGCACTCACTCTGGCACTAAATTTCTTGGTTTCTCTTTTGACTTCCACAACTGCATAATTCCTTTTCCCCTTAAAACAATTTAGATTGGTACGCATAATCTAGAGATGAGTTTGACATAAATCTGAATATAGATAATCTAAAACCATAAGGCACTGGAAATATATACTCCTGCCCATTATCTAGAGAAAATAGTTTACATGCCAGTTACAGTAGCCTCCACCTAATACTTGTGTTAATGATAGCTCATCACACAAGACATCGACATAGAACTAATTTCAAAATACTCCAATTAAGTTATCAAATTTACATTCCATTTTACAAGAAACAGAGAAAGTATCAAAATAGGGACAATAAACAAGTTAAATCTACACTAGATAGAACTGCTAAAGTATGTTTAGGAAGGCTTTACTCATGGCATGGTATGATTATCAATAAACAATAACTGTCTTCTTTGTGTTGTATAGGTAATCGTCCCTTCATAAGTCATCTATGTCAAGTTCAGATAGGTCACAATCTCCATAACACCAACTACTTCAACCACCCTACCAGGATACCAAGTGACACCCTCCACCAAAGCAGTGACTTTGTGAATGAATAGGTAAAGAAGTTGACAAAGCATGCATAACTCCACTCTATCACATTGCTCGATGAAAATTCGATCATAATGAAGGCGCACAAAAAGCAAATAACTAAACAAATGCAGAGTTCTTCAAATATTGAAATAGGCAAAAGAAATTCATCAAGAAACTTTGAGCGACCAAGAATTATCAAGCATACTACTTTATACCAGTGCAGAGATATTAGAGGCCAATTTGCATCAAGCTTCAACAGCTTCAGACTTAATATACATCGAAAGCTAAAAAAACCCAAAAAGAACACAAGTCAACAACTTGCATCAACTCGAACCTCAAGAAGAGGAGGCAGCTTTAATAGCTCTCTCCAATTCACTCTCCACATCACTCAACCTATTACCATTCTTCTTAACCTCTTTCTTTGAATTCTCTTCCCCGCCATGCTTCTTGCTTCTCCACTGCTCAAAACCACTTGATTCTTCAACCACAGGAATCGTTTTCTTCCTGTTAGTCTCACCCAGAGCACCACTACTACCACCATTCCTCCCGAAGGGCCCCAATCTCATTTCTTCCAACTTGTGCTTCATTTCTCTATTCTCCCTCTGCAGCATATCCAATTCCCTCTTCATCCAAAGGCACATTCCTTTCAACAATTCCGAATCACCACCAATATTTCCCTCACTTCTCTTCTGTTTCCCTCCTTCCACTTCTTTAACCTGATCAACCCTCTCAATCCCAATCTTATTGACAGCCATATAAGGCAATTGATTACTCAAATCATCAGGAAAATTCACACCCCACCTGAGAGTCATCAAAACCCTTTTAGCCAATGGCATTTCTGTCCTTGCCATCATTGAAATTCCCTTAAAGATTGAATCTTTACCATTATTTTCCAGAGAAAAATCCTTCAAATTTACTGGCCTCTCCAACGGAACAAACCCAAATGAACTAGCTTCCCCATTAATCTTCCCACTTGGGCTACCAGGTGTGCTGGAGAAGGTGGATTTTCTCAAACTGAAAGAGCCCAGTCGAGGTTTGAATAGAATAGAAAAGGTAGGATTAGAAGTGGGATTGTTAGGGGAGAAAGAGAAGTTAGCAGAGATAATAAGGGGGGATTCTTTTGGGGAGCCATATTGGCCTATGCCTGATTTAAGAGTAAGAGTAAGAGGTGGTGGTGGGGTGGTGGTTGAAGTGTTGGCAGCCGTCGAGGCAGTGGTGGCGGTGGTGCTGCTGGTGGTGGAGTAGGAGAGTTTGAGAGTGGGGCCAGATGGAAAGTGGGTGGAAAGTGAAAGGGAAAGGTCAGAAGGGTGATGAGTGGTTGTAGAGAATCCAGAGAGAAAAGGAAGATTGAAAATGGTTACAGGGATTTTAGCCCTGAAAAGAAGTGAGTGGATTTGGTTGCTCTGCTGTGGTTGTTGCGGCTGTTGCTGGTGCTGAGTATCTTGGAGCTTAAGAGAAAACTTCATCTCTGATCAGTTTGCTTAGTCTACTGCCACATGCAGGTTGCCTTTTGTCTGAGTGTTCTTGGGGGTATTGGGCGCCTCACGGTGGAATGGGTGGAGCTAGCAAGCCACCAAAAAAAAAGGAAGAAGATAAAGAAAACTTTCTTGGATCCAAACAGATTTGAGGTCCACATCCATACGAGGACTTCTTCAATGACAACAGAGATTCGGAGAGCGGATCAAAGATGAATACTGCAGCATGCCTATGGGCTTTTCTTGAATTTCATGTTTTGGGCTCGATGGACTACTAGTTCATTAAAAGAGAGGCTTTAATTTCTGTTCTATTAGTATGCGAAATATGTGGAATAAAAAAATGTTCTTATAATAAAATGTAAATTTTTTTTTTTTGAAAAACTCCAATTCAAACGAGGTCTTGGATCTTCTTAAATTTACATTTAAGCGCATGTATAATGCTGTTGATGGCTACTTCATGCATATTGTTTTAAAAAATTTATGTATAATTAAGTCTGGAAGAAATGAAAGTTGATGAAGCAAATTGGTAGTCATCAAGTCATTTTTGTGCAACGGATTTTCTTTTCCACTTTTTATTATATTACTATTTTTTCATAAATATATTTTTTGTTTTCTTAAAATTTGATAACTATTAATTGAGTGATACACAAAATTTAACGACCTCAAATAAATCAAAATGCATAAAAAATAAGACACAAAAATCTCCTTCCCGTGTGCTTTAAATTTGATTTTATAAAGCTCAATGCACACACTTTTCATTTTTTTAATGCATTCATGCACATTTATTCATCCCCTTCTACAGCTTTATTTATTTATTTATTTTGAAAATTTAAAAAAATTAGGGTTCCACTTACTTACGTGTCTTAAAAGGTGCACGGCAGTCAAACCTCACCATGCATGCATGCATGCACATAAATGAATAGTGGAAATTCAAAGCGAAATCTTTGATTAGTTTTGTGTTTTCTAATGACATGTTAATGCAATGCATCTAAGTTTGCATCTCATGATATTATTGAAGTCTTTTTAACACATGCATTGAAATATTCATCCTCCTATAAGGTTCAATAATAAATTGATAGAATTTCTTTCAATTTATGTGTTTGAAGTAATAAATTTATGAATCCATATTAACGTGGGTACATGTATTTTTGGTCTTGTATTACGTATAAATAGGGTTCATCTTTAATTTCACTTGTAACCTTGAAAACTCTGAATAAACTAGTGAATAAAAGTATAAATTTCTCTCTATTTTTTTTTTTCTATTTTTAATATTGTTCTATTTGTTTATAATTCAATATACAATTACTACACATCACTGCCAATCAAATATAGATTAGCATTAATTTCACGACATTGAGTTGTTTATTAGAGGTTTTTTGCAACAATGTCTAAAAAAATTTTGCATTTGGATTGCAAATTTTCAAAGAAATTGTTACGTTTTCTGTGAACACATTTTTCAATCACTTTTTTTACTTCATATATATCAAATCATTACAATAATTTTTTTTTTACAAAAAGTCCAGAAAAATACGCTCCAAACAAAGCCTTATTCAGCACACGTACGCATATTCAAAACAAGGACAAATGTACAAATTGCGTTGATTTCTCATTACAAGAACTTTGCTTTTCTACAATGGAGAGGCCCTCCAATATTGAACATCCTTTTTAGACAAATTCAACTTTCGGCTGTCCAACATTTTTACTCCGTACCGAAATTTTCAACATGTCAAACTTCAGTTTAACCTAATCTGTCAAAGTGAAACCAGCCACAGGTATCCAGTTGAAGCAAAGCACGTGCACTGTTTGAGAGGATATCCCAGCGACAGAAAGAATCAACTAACTTAAATTAGTAATATACCAATGGATCCCATGCCTGCCAAAATTGGCATGCCAGCGATTGCCATTATTTACTTAATCAGTATTCCATCCGTCCCACTTTGATAGTCCTAATTTTTTTTTTACATAATTTAAAAAAAATAGTTAATTATATTGAAACAATCAATTTAGATAGCTATTTTTTTAAAATGTTCTCACATTAATTAGAGTACAACTTTATGGGAACTTGAATTGATGGTAAAAAAGAATCAACTCTCATTAAATGGGGTAGGTTTATAGTAACAACAACTTACATTGAATAAGGGTATTTTAAGAAAATTAAAATACAACTACATTTTTCAATTGGAAAGTGGACTACAATTTGGGACAGACGAAAAAAGAAAACAAAACTATTAAAGTGGGACGGAGGGAGTAGTATTTTATTGTTATTCTATTCAAATGAAGCCATAGCAGATCGTAGCAAATACATTGGAAGCATCAATACAAATTGGCTCAGTCGGTGAAAGGATGGACCACTTTTTCATGAATATGTCGAATTTTGTTTTTGATGCGAAGATTATATTGATAAATGATTGATAAAATCCTTACAGTAGATTATAATAAATGCATAGAAAACATCGACATAAATTAGCTCAATTGATAAAAGAATGAATCACTTTTTCATGAAAAGATCGAATTTCGTTGTTAATGTGAAGATCGTATTGATAAATGATTGATAAAATCCTGAAAACAAACTATGATTCAAAACATGTTCTGGTTCATTCAAATATTTTGTTAAAAAAAAAAAAAAAGAACACAAAACTATGAACCCTTGAGATATTTGCCAGATGGACTTTGTCCCTATCCATTCTTGGCTTCTGTTCTTTAGTACTAGTGACTGGACTTATTAGATGTGGCTAGCAGGGGACAAATTAATTAAATAATAGCAGTAGTCAACATCCATCATATCATAGTCCAAAATGTCACTTGTGGGACATTGTTGATTGCTAATACAATACAATATATCAGCAGCCAGACATGTTCAGCTGATATAAATTCAGGAGGGAGGCAGTCGCTTTGATATTCAAAACTCAGGTCGTGGCTTACAAATGCCTCGTGCGCTACCTGCTTTGCCTTTTGTTGTGTTGTGTGACTTGTTTTTCTCTCATTCAAATTATTGTACACGAATATTTTCTGATTTTTGATTGTACAAATAAAAGAGTGATCAAAATTTGGTAGATCCGATTTTAAAAAATTCAATAATCTTGAGCTACACAATATTTGATAAGATAACGTGACACAATCTGGATTATTGAATTTTTAAAAATCGAGTCTACCCAAACATGAATAAGAAAGAATTACTGCACGAACACTCATAAAAAAAAGTGAAATTGACAAATTTGAGTTGAGTCTACGGTTTAGATGTGATTTTTATGGCTAATTGCGACCTTTATAATCACGAAAGTATGTGCTATGATGATTATGAGACTCTTTTCTTTTTTTTCCCTTTATGGTGAAAGTATAATTGTTAATTTTTATTTTAGATTTCGACTTTTTTCTTCTCTTTTTATTCTTTTAGTTCTTTAATGGAAAAGACAATATGATTGCATATATGAGATGTGTGTTAAATAATTCATCATAGTTGGTATTTTTTTTTATCTTAGTGCTTGTTTATTAATCCATCGTGATTGATACTTTTCTTTATTTTAATATTTGTTTAAGACCTACTACTTACAATTCCTTCAATTTATTAATTATCATCCAATCCAATCCTCCCTTCCATATAGTTCAAGTTATTTACAGTTCATGTAAATTGGAACCCTAATGATCCAATCAAACACTGCATAAATTATCGAAAATGTTGCCCCTCATTAGGTTGACATTACCTCATAAACTTCCAAGTGACGCAAAAAGGTCAATTTTTAGTTCAGGGACCAACCACTTAGAATTCTTTACATATTTACCCTGTGACTTGATGTAATTCTCTTCACAAGCATCACGTTGCATTATATAAGATTTCATTAGCGGACTTTTCTTGAAAAGCATGGTATCTTAATAGTTGACTAAATAGGTTCATGATCAACTTAAACTTGTCATGACTAGTCCAAATTAGTTTCTCAATTAGTCAAATCAAATTTGGATGAATACTATCATCCTTTAGCTTTATAAAACCGAGTCCTACATGGTTTGCTAGGTGCAAAATCTAAACCTCAATTGTTTATTCAACCGTGGGTTAATAGATGTGCAAACCTTTCCTAAATGACTGAAATCCTACACAAACTCAATGTGTAGAAGTGCTTTCGAGCTTGGGCTTAAGTAATAATTAAGTCAATGCATATACAATTTCGAAGCTAGTTAATCAAGAATGAAACCATACTTAAAATTGTAAAAGGTATGCATTTCATTCTTTTAGAAACTTTTTTGGTTTGTATTTGAGTTTTTGGTAATATTTTTTAGCAAATATACTAGCGATACGATATATGTGAGAGAAAAAATAATTAAAAATATGTCAAGAAAATATTTTTAATTTTTTATTGAAAAACTCGCAATCTAAATATTTATATGCTTTTTTGTCACCACTCTTTTGATAATATGTTTTTTCAAGGGTTAATGCCATTTTGCACCCTTCAACTATATTCGAAACTTCACTTTGGTGCTTAAACTTTAAAGAGAAATGTTTTAGTTTCTAAAGTATAAAATCTATCCTCTTTTAATCCCTAAAATTAAAATTTATTTCACATTAGTTCCTAAAATATAAAATTTTGTCTCACATAAGAATAAAATTCTTCTCCTTTTTGTTGAAGATTTTACATAAAGCGAGACAAATTCTATATTTCAAGGATCATTAAACTGTCTCACTCTAAAGGTTAGACGCTAAAGTCAGATTTGGATATAATTGAAGGGTACAAAGTGGAATTAACCCTTTTACAACTCGGTCACATTCTTAAATTGTCATTAATATTTGTTTTCCGACAATGGGCTAATAGAATTTACATGTATGACTAGATAAAGGGTGTTTTGACATGTCTTTTGAATATTTGTTACTACAGGTAGAGTTCGAATTTTCGGTTTGACAAAAAAAAGTTTTTGGTGGCCAAAAAAGGTTTTGGTGGCCACAAAATTGTCACTAGTATTACCCTAGCTAATACTACTACAAGCAAGGCAAGAAAAGACCA